GTTGTAGCCCCAGTAGCTCCAGCCCCCACCCTCCCTGTGAGCACAGTGTGCTCTGATTGGTCGGGACGTTGTGAATCGCGCTGAGCTCCGTGGAGGTGTGGTTTCCTTATTTAGCGCGACAGCGAAACACAGCCAAACTCACCCTGAGCACACACAAAGTCACAGCCGAAGTAAAAACAATAAGTGTGGCTTGATATTGAGTAAGAAAAAGGTTGATAAACGCTGTGAGAATGGGTCTGCAGAGAGAATTTTGCCGCAATCCCAACTGTCTGTTATCAGCCTGCAGCCAGGGAGGAGATATCAGCAGAGGTGTGTGTGTGTGTGCATGCATGAGTGTGTGTGAGTAAGTCCATGGATTGGTCAATTTGGACCAATCAGCGGGGGCTTAACGTAACGGCTCCGCGGACGTAACGTAACGGCTCCACGGATTGGTCCATTTGGTTCCGGGTAACGCATGACATCATGCGGTACCCGGAAGAATCAATGGACAGTGACGTATCTCCAACGAGGCGTTTTGGGGAGGTATTTTCTGTGTTAGAGTTTTACTCGATACAGGGTGTACTTTGAGGGTTTTGACTCTGCAGACCGTTTACATGCATAAAAACCTTCATAACACACAAGGGGACGGGTAATAACCGGAAAAGCATGACATGGGACCTTTAATGTAAAACTTCATACAGTAGCATGACTCATCTGATCTAGAGTTCTAAAATAAATGACAAGGCAGTTTCATAGTCCAAATCCATTACTTTCACCAAGGCTGCACAATCCCCTAATTTATTTTCCTGTCTATGAGTGCTTTGTGAGGCAAAGTCGTTGTATTTTTTTTAAGTAACCACAAGGTGGCCCTATTGCTACAGATATGCATCACATCTTTCCATTTCCCAATTTTCCAATAAATTCCATAAAATCTGGTGAGATGTTTCCAACATATCATACAATAGCTACTATCTGACAAACAGAGAGAACAAAAAAAAAGGGATTTACAGCTGGCATCATGGCTTAAGCTACAGTCTCCAAGGGCCTTTCATTCCTGTGTTTTCTCTGCAACTCACCTTCCGACTGATAGCGATGAGCAGACACTCGGCTGCTTCCAGCTGCAGCTCCGGTTCACTCAGCAGTAAACACAACATTTCCAGCAGATGACAGTTTCCGGAGGTGATGTACACCAGAGACACCCAGTCTATGTAGCCTGCAAGTGTATTCAGCGTCGCCACGGCAACTCTGCAGTGAGCCCTGGCCTGTGCATGGAAAATCAAGGTAAGTAATCAAGTTCATAAGAGGTTCATTTTTAGAGCAGAGAAGCTGTGTGGTGTTCTGACCTGCAGCTCATGTTCGGGAGACCCTTTCTGGAAACAGAAATACAAGAAAAAAAAGATCAGAAAAACATTTAAAAAAATTTAGCTATATGAAAAACAATGGATCAATACATAAAAACCATAACACTGGCACATGATTTTGATTGCTACTTATTTCTACAAAATGAAAGTTAGGACGCCACTGACCAGTTTGCGGTATTCCTCCACATTAAGATGCAGAATGGCCATCATGAAGCTGAAGATGCTTTCCATGTTTTGGGTGAGGGTCTGCTGGATGTCTCTGCGTCGCTGGGTTGGCAACGTCTGGAACGTGATCACATCCTCCGCCAGTCTCAGCAGGATCAACATCACCAACTCTGTCTGAGCCTCCTATGAAAAGGCAGAAGGGCATTTTAGCTTCAACTTTATTTATTACTTTTGACATAACAACAACAACATTAAAGGGATGCATCTTTAGGCCAAAAAAGATACTTTGTGCTCTACTACAATAACCAATTGGGAAACATGTTGTTTAGGTTCATAGTTTCTCATTTACCATTAATTTGCTACAATCTTCAAGTAGTTGACACTATGACATCAGATGAAAATGACTAATCCTCGACTGGCACTTATTTGAATGCGATTTATGACATAATCTTATTCAAATTTCGTGCAAGCTGGCAAAGGAAACGACACATATTCAATAACAAACTATATACACGCTATTAATTACTCACCCCATTGCTAGTGAGAGCCTCCATCTCTTTCAGCATGTCTGGCCAATGTTGAGGCCATTCTCTCTTTATCATTTCAACAGTGATTCTTGACAGGCCATCTTTGATGTGGCTTTCCTCCTCTAGGATAGAATGAGTACCCTGATAAGACGCAAAACAGGTGTTAGATAAGTGTCTACTACTGACAGTACGATTCAGGATCATTTAAACCAAAAGACAGATAGTTATGTTGTTAACAGCCTATAAATATCACACTTACAGTTGATAACAGGTGCATGGCACATTCCTTCAACTGGACCTTCTCTTGTTGTGGCATGTTGTTCCATCTGAACCTGCAAGAAAAATAAGATTAATTGAGCTTTTAGCATGTCATTATTTGTTATAAACATGATTTCTCTGTTGCACTCACTTGATTACGTGTTCCAGGATTTGCAAACCAAAGTGTCTTACAACAGCTGGCTGAGCTTTGTCAGCCAATTGCAAGGCACATGGTACACAGAAGGAGCTGGTCTCTTTAAACTCCTCGCAAAACTGTTGTGAAAAAAAAGCTTATTACACAGACCCATAGATAAACTTAATGATATAAGGTATAAACATACGATAATATTACCATATTGGTGTAGTTACTCAGTAGGAAAGTGGCTTCAACAACAGCTGCCTGAGCAACTTTTAATTCAATACCTAATAGCCTAAAGTTAACAAAACAATTAGCAATTTAAGCTAGATGCAGCCCTGCAAGGTTTATTGGACTTGTTAAACCAGGCTCAGTATTTAATAACCCTCTGCAGGACTTTCAGTAAATAACAATGTCTTTGAATGAATGCATGTCTTCACTGGATATGGTGCTGGGGTGATACTCATGGCATGCAGGGGCTAGCTCGCAAACACATCTGGCCATCATTATTTATAAGCGAACGTAGACAAACTGTGTTAGCAATGGTGTTAATACTATTACAAAATATTATTTTTTTATTCAGCTACGCAGTTACTTGAGTCCAATTTCTCACCAACTACAATATATGGTATTCTCAGCTAGCTAGCAGCTAGTTAGCAAACCAAAACGATGCTACCTTTAGGGCCTCCAGCCGGTAAACTTGTCCTGTTTCTGCATCCATCATCACATTCAGAGCTTTGATAAGCTGATCACACATGGCGGCCACCTGGTCAGCCATGACTTCAGGTAGTGTCTGGAGAAAGCGAGGATCTCCCTTATGCAAAACACCTGCACGACAGTGAGCAGCGTACACAGGGACGTACTACCAACGTGCACACAATGTGATGTCCGCGCGTTTGAACTGTTGGCTTTCCGTTGAATTAGAATTCTGGGAGTTGTAGTGGAACCGTCATGTTTTGTTTTCTTTTAATAAAAAAAAAAAGATCGTCTATGTACTGCAAGAGATATCCCATGGGGGTTAAGAAAAATCATGATCATAGGAATACTCAATCCATGTTCCTTAGTTTGATTTGTATTTCTTTCTTAACAGTAAGTAGAAAAGCGACTGCGATGTTTTTTCTGTTTTTTTACATGACTAAATGGCCAAATTATCTTTTGAGATAAATCAAACTGACAAAACGTACACGGACCCAGGGGCGAGGCAAAACTCTCGGAAGCAATTTCAAAATAAAAGCCCTCGTCTGGTTAAAGACACTTGATAGATGAAGCTTGCCCTTAACAACCATAGCTATTCACAAAAGGCGCTTCATCCTAATTTATATCATAGCAAGCCGATACACGCAAACCTCGAAGATGGATAACTAGTAAAAGTGCAAAGTGCAACGCCAAAAGGACTTTCTAAAAAATATTTCCTTGTCATAATGTTCTACCTTAACCACTTCCCCTGTTGGATATTTCAGTGCTACCAAATTCACTTCACACATCAGTGGCGGATTTAGGATTGTAGGAGATCCGGGGCTTAGCCCAGGAGTTGTTGGTGGGGGGTGGGGGGGTGG